ATTCGCTTCGCTCGGTGGTCTGGGCTGGGCTGTAGTTGTCATTGGGATGCAGGTGGCTCTCGGTCGAGCAGGGCCGAGGGAGAGCTCATGGTCTGAATCTTGCACCTTCTGGCATGCTGGCAGGCAACTGGACCCCTGCGCACCCTTGCTAGAGCCAGCAGGCTCCCACATGGGCGCGGGAGTCCTTTCCTGCAAGAAGATGCTGGAGGGTGGCCTACCAGAAGTTGTGAAGAATTGACTTTATTTTCAAGGGGACTGTAGACAACGTCCCATCTATTCCTAGACTTCCGAACGGTGGTAGAGTGTGCTTGTTGCAAAGTGCTGTGTGAGCATGGCTCGGATAAAGGGCCTTGTCCACTGCTGCAACAAAATGAACCGGAAAACAGGCTGGAGTGTCAACTTGCTCTGCTTATGTCCTGCACCAGTCCCTACCGGGCATGATGCTCTGAAGGGGCAAGAGGGATTTCAGCGGAGGAGCAGTACCTTCCCAAAGTTAAGTTCAAAGATTTATCTGTTTCAAAGGCAAGTCAGGCTAAGTTGCTTGGTTCTCCGTTGAAGGCTTGTCAGACCCAGCATGGTGATGGGTGTCCTCAAAGTATATTTCAACAAACCTTCGCCATCTTTTGTACTGGCAGGACATTGACTGTGCCCTTGCCCCCACTGCTTTACCAATGACAAGTTCATGCAGGTGTTTGATCTTTCAGGTGTTATGTCTGGAAGTTGTGTGTGAGGTTTTGTCTTTAAGAACAGATTAGACAAACACCTGTCTAGACGCTTTAGACAAATACTCCTGCCTTGAGTAGGGCATTGGACTAGATGACCCTGGAGATGCCTTTCAGGCCTATTTTTTCTAGGATTCTGTGATGGTTGTTAGTCTCTTTTATTTGGGGAAATAATCTTACCTTAATCACACGTCGTGCTTGGAGACCCTCAGGTTCACCAGTGTGCAAATCGGCATTAGGATGGTTTGGCTTTACTTACTGCTCTGCTCATGTTTAGGTGTGAGCGCTGCTGCGTGTGCGCCCTGAAAGGGATGTTCTTCCTTGTCTAGCTTTTCTGCCCAGTTTTCTGGATAATTAGATACCTGCCCTGAGACCCAGCCCCAGTCCCAGGTGCTGTTTAGTGACAGCCACAACCTTCAGCAGCCTTTGCAACCAGTGCTGAAAAATCCTCGTTACTACCGCCACGGGCTGTTTAGTGCCACAGACCAGTTCAGACGCACTGTCCCTTGGCTCCTGTTTTCTGGAGTCCCCTGCACTGGCCCAAGTGGCACTTACAGAGCTGTGTAACTATAGCCTTTAGTCCTCAGCTTGGGATTCAGCATAACTGCTCAGTTGCACGTACAGCTGGGAAAGTCCCAGCCCTGGAAAGGCAGAAAACCGCAGTTAGTGGCTGATAGAGGAGGGTGGGAGCCCAACAGGCAAAAGCATTTGCCCAGAGAGTGGAAGAAACCCTCACCCAGAGAGACTTGAACCTGCATGTCCTGCTTCCTAACAAATGGCTCTAACCACCTGGTCGCAGGCTAGGCAGAGCCTTAGCTTTCTCCATCCCACCCACTAATGGTGGCCCACTAAGCGTTTCTATGACAAATGTTTCTGGCGGAGTGAATTGTGTACCGAAGTTGGCGCCTGTGTCCTGCTCTGTGGGGCTGTCCCCACCACTGTTTCACTCGTTTCACGTGTAGTCACTTCTGTAGTGCAATAAGGACCTGTCAAACTTTCCACCCCAGCCCAGGGCAGCGCGTCCCTCCCCAACAGACTCACCAAGGTGGAGTCTGGTTCTTCCCTGGTTTTGCTTCAGGCTGATGCAGAAGTGGAGGCCAGGGGCGCAAGCGGGAGTGCGGGTCTGGTCTCTCCCCCACTCGACTAAGGGGAGACCATGCTTTCCTCCTGCAGAGTCGCAATGCCATGCCCAAACTCCAGATCACAGACTGGGGAACTGAGCCCTGGAGAGGTAGCTAACTGTCCCCAACAGACACGGAGGGGAGCAAGTCATGCTCTCCAAGCAAGAAAATGGGCCCACCCCAGCCATATCTGGGCTTAATTTCATCCATGCAGCCTTGACTTGAAGCTGAACCCAGGCCTGCTCTGGAAACTAAGCACGTTCCTCAGAGGGGCAGCTGCAGGACGGATCTCGGCCTTGTGCTACGACAGGTTTATCTCTGATTGCATGGGAATGGCTGGAAAGGGAGCGAAGCCTGCACGTGCGTTTCATTCTGCACCCGCTAGAGGCCCTTCCAACACTTAAAGACGAGGTGGGGATGGGATTCAAGCTGTGCGCACCAGGCTTGGCTTCATCGGACGGACTCCGGTGAGCAGGTCCACTGCACAACTTCTGCATCGTGCTCCAGCAACGGTGCACAAGATGCTACGAGGTGATGGAAGGAGGGTCTTCGCTCCATCCAACGGGCAAAGGAGTTTTATTTTTGGTTTTTAGCTTGTTTTTTTGTCTTTTGGATTTGTTTGTGCTGCAAAAAAAAAAAAAAAAATTGCATTTTCCAGAGAAATCCCTCCTGTGGGCTTTTTGCACTGGGAGGTCTATGCGAATGTAACCCTTCCTCCAGGTGACACCCCAGCCAGAGAGACGTGCTCTGCAACGTGCTGTCCCGAGAGGTAGAGCGAAGGGAGGTGGCAGGAGGAGGGTCTTCCTAAGATGAGCCTGATCTGAGGAGTGATCTTATTAATCCCCATCCCCAGGAGCAACCCTGCAGAGCTCTGCCCAAACCTCTGTGCCACCGGCAATTTGAAGTGAGCCTCTTAGCAGCGGAGACACTTCCCCACCTTGCAGAGCAGACAGGAAAGGTGTTAGCAGCTCCTTCCTCCTTGCTCCCAACCTGGCAATGGTGAGGGCATGTAGCTGCTTGAATCCAGCAGCAGGGATGGGAGAGAACTGAAAAGAGAAGGGGGCTTTGCCCTCCCTCTCGTCACGCTGCCTTGGTGCCAAGCCGTGGTACGACAGGCTGGTACCTCCCATACTGCTACCACTGCTCAGTGTGCTGCGTGAGTGGTGCCAACATCAGAAGCGGGTTCACTCCCAAATCCATGCTCCCAGCTGCCAGCAAGGCCTGGTCCATTTACAACTGGCTGCTGTCTTCTGCAGCCCTACCGGTTGGGGAGGGCTGGCCTAGTCTGTATGCTGGCTGCTGGAGGGAGGGTTGCCCAAACTGGAGCTCTGGCTTGCAACGAGGTGGCAGGGCACGAGCCGCAGTCCGACAGCTGCCCTTTCCCAGCCCTCTTCATGTGCTCGCTGCACACTGAAGAAGAGTGGCTTGGTGTGTACACAGGCCGTGCCACCGAGACTCGAAGCATTGCAGCGGAGGTGGCAGAGATGTCCGCAGCTTCCTCTTGGTTTCTAAGCCATCCGCTGCAGGAAACCCGACAGCGTGAGAGCGGCCCCTGGGCTGTGCGGAGGCAGGCTAGAGACAGCCCCTTCCCTCTGTGGCTGCCACTCCTGAATAACCACTCGCACGCCTGCCCGCGGAGACCGAAATCAGCTTTATTCACAATCACAGTTACCCAATTGTCACAACGAATGGATTGGTTTTCTTTTTTGTTGTTGTTTTTTCTTCTCTTTAACAGAACACAAACCGGTTTAAAAGAAAGCGCTGAAATGCAGGTGACATCAAAACACCTTGTCGTGACTTAGGAGCCGACACAAACCCAACAGCAAAA